TGTCAATATGGGGTGCTGTGTGTACATTAATGAGGAAAAAAATTAACTTAATTGATTTTAGCAAATGGCTGCAATATAACAGAGTGAAAAATTTAAGGGGGTCTGAATACTTTCCGTACCCACTGTATATAGGTTAATATATAGCAATGCCATTTTAAATTGGAAAAAAAATGAAATTTCATTTGCTATAGCAAATAACAAAAAGAAATACACAATAAATTATAATGACTTTTTTTTTTTTTATTGTGCTTTATATATACACACAGTTCAATCATGAAACTCTAGATGGCGCATTCTGACGGGGTGTTTACGTAACTGATGATATTCAGAGAGTTTAACGACTTGGCACAAGCTGATTGGTTCATGCTGCATATGCAGCCAATGAGCTTACTGCCTTGCATTTATATAGATGGCTAGCATTCACTTGAGATTCCTGCAGCGTCTTTAGTGTTCTCTGAAACCCTCCACCTTCCCCAGCTCCACCTGTATAGATCTGCTACGGGGTTATTTTATATGCTATTTGTGCAGCAGCATGTCTTAAATACTCATGGCACCGTATCGCCATATGCATTGGCAGTAGCAAGTTCCTGTACTTGCTTGCAGCAGCAGCAATAATCTACAACTACAGCAATAACCAACAGCAGCCGCAGCGTAGCAGATCTGTTCCGCCAAGACCAAATACATTAACATTGTCATATCCATCACCATGCTAAAATGTTCCGAGAGTTGTCATGATTGAAATATCATTAACGGCATCTCCCAGTGTGCCTGCATGTTCATATGATGTTATTTCACCTATTGGCGCAGTTTGAGTTTCCTCACAAGTTTAAGTGCCATTAGTTTAACCACAGTGACACTTCAAGTTTTCTGTATATATGTTCAGGTATTATGGTGTATGCAAGTTGTAAGTGCAAACATCTAGTAAGAAGATATTGTTAAATATTATATTATTGTAATCTCAAATTTTCTTGTATCCTTTACAGCCTCACACACCGGAGCACTTCCTTGAAGTCAAACTGGAGTCATATAACACACGCTTCTTCCACATCAAAGAGGACTTCGCCTATACTGAGGTACAAACTCTTAGTAATGTGTCATGAATAATGAGTTTTACAAAGAACTGAGGAAAATCAGTTCTCATTCACTAGTTAGCCTGCCTAAGCCTAAAGTGGTTTCCTGATGTTTAGCTGGTTTAATCTAGGTCTAGCTTATCTCCCATTCTGGCCTTTATATATTATATTATATTTTTATTTTATTTTATTTTATACTTGTAATTTAATTGAATAGTGACTTTTTTATTGTGTCATGAATAATGAGTTTTACAAAGAACTGAGGAAAATCAGTTCTCATTCACTAGTTAGCCTGCCTAAGCCTAAAGTGGTTTCCTGATGTTTAGCTGGTTTAATCTAGGTCTAGCTTATCTCCCATTCTGGCCTTTATATATTATATTATATTTTTATTTTATTTTATTTTATTTTATACTTGTAATTTAATTGAATAGTGACTTTTTTATTGTTTTTTTTTTTATATATATTTGTATTTATGTAAAGAGGCATTGGGACAGACCAAGTAAGATATTGAAAGAAAAAAATAAAACAAATGAAAATAAAGTTACTGTTTCTGTAGGTGAATGGAAAGAAGATCTACCAATCAGAAGATGGCATTCATCTGACTGTAATCGACGGCCACAGCGGTAAAATCCTGGAGTCTAAAGGCTTCAGGAACTCAATCCTGATGGGAATTCCAGCTCAGCTAGAGAACTACATCACCAACCTCAAAGACGAGTAAGACTAATACAAAATATATGCATGAATAGTTTACATCCATGCAAAATCAAATGCACATGCAATGAAATGTTCTATTCTGATTACTAGGGGTTTTATTCAGCAGGGATGCATTCAATTAATCAAAAGCAAACTGATAATAATAAATGTTTCTTAAGCAGCAAATCAGCATATTAGAATGATTTCTGAGTGATCATATGACACTGAAGACTGGAGTAATGATGCTGAAAATTCAGCTTTGATCACAGGAATAAATTATGTTTTACAATATATTAAAATAGAAAACAGTAAAAAAAGACAGTGAAACCCCCAGACAATGAAAGAAAAAGAGTTGAGTCATGTGAAGAGAAGCTGTTTTCTGGGCTGGACACATACACACACACACACACACACACACATACATACCAGAGCAGCAGGGTCCTTCCTCTTGACCCTCCCTTCACATATTATATGTATCATGTTGAATTGTCATTCCAGCAGGCAAAGCCCCTTAAGTTTACATTCCAAGTGCTTCCCACCGGCTCGTTCAGTGAACAACACCAAATGTTTCACAGACCACCGACGCATGACGAGTCTGTACTGAAACCTAAAGGAATAAAAATGAAAGCACTCCAACACAAGATTTTATGATACTGATCAACTTTATATTTTCCTGTTATTTCATGGCCTAAATAAATAAATAAATATTGATTTGAGATTTGAGATTATTATATGAATAAAAAGTGTTGAATGATATGGGAGACATGAAACTTGCACAGCTACACTACAGTTTCATACAATGTTTGAAAAATTGGAAAAATTGAAAAAAAGTAAATAGTAATTTTCAGCAAGGATGCATTGAATTCTGAGAGTTGCGATATAAACTCGGAATAACAAGAAGTAAACTCGCAATTCTGAGAAAAAAAAAGTCAGTATTGCGAAATATAAACACTATCTGATATTCAGAGTTCTGCTTTTGCATCTCACAATTTTGCATTTATTTCTCGTATTTCAGTTTTTTTTTCTCGCAGAATTCTGAGTTTACGTCTCAATATTATTTTTATTTTCGCCAAAGAATAATAAAGGTAATTGTGACTTGTCTCACAATTATGATTTGTTTTCCCTTTGCAATTCCGAGTTCATAACTGAGTTTATATCTCACAATTCTGAGGGAAAAAATTAATTGTAACATAAACTCAGAATTGCGAGAAAAAAAAAATCTGAATTGTGAGATGGAAAAGTTTTTTTTTTATTTATTTTTTTAATCCTGTGGCAGAAATAAGCTTCCATAGGCACTGAAGACTGGAGTAATGATGCTGAAAATTCTGCTTTGATCACAGGAAGAAATTACATTTTTCAATATATTAAAATAGAAAACTATTATTTTAAATTGTAATAATATTTCACAGTATTCCTGTTTTTACTGTATTTTTGATCGAATAAATGCAGCCTTGGTGAGCAGAAGAGACTTCTTTCAAAAACATTTAAAAAATCTTACCGACCCCAAACTTTTTTGTAGCGTATGTAGGAAATCTGTTGCCAGGGATGACGGTCATACAGATTAGCCTTATTATAAAAAAAAATGTAACCAAAGAATATCACGATTGACCAATCAGAATGAAGTATTCCAGAAAGCTGTTAAATAAGCACCATAACATCAAAGCCTGTATAATTAAGTAATTGACATTTTTTACAGTTTGCCGTTTGGCAAACATTGATGCACATAAATTGGCCTTAACCAAAATTTTTGTCATGAATGAGGTCATTAAAAATCATTTTGTGTGTTTTTTTCCAGACAAACTCGCCTTTGTGGGTTTCAAAGGCTCCTTCTGGCCGGACTGGTCTTACCGACCCCAAACTTTTTTGTAGCGTATGTAGGAAATCTGTTGCCAGGGATGACGGTCATACAGATTAGCCTTATTATAAAAAAAAATGTAACCAAAGAATATCACGATTGACCAATCAGAATGAAGTATTCCAGAAAGCTGTTAAATAAGCACCATAACATCAGAGCCTGTATAATTAAGTAATTGACATTTTTTACAGTTTGCAGTTTGGCAAACATTGATGCACATAAATTGGCCTTAACCAACATTTTTGGCATGAATGAGGTCATTAAAAATCATTTTGTGGTGTTTTTGTTTCCAGACAAACTCGCCTTTGTGGGTTTCAAAGGCTCCTTCTGGCCGGACTGGGTGAGGATGAGTGTTGATGAAGAGCGGGCCAAACTCCACCAAGTGCTCCCCATCCCTGTGATTAAGATGATGAAGCTATGAAGACGAGCGACACACGCCGCAGGACATCTCAATCTTGCAGTAGCAGCATTACTGGACGAGCCCAGCTACAGCCGCACGCCAGGACCAATCACAGCCCAGCATGTGTTTATGTTACCTAGCAACCCCTCCCAGCGGATTCCATTGTATGTGACAACGTGGACGTTGTGATTTTTGGATCGTGTCGTCAGTTGCTTATACTTGTTTCGACGGGAGAAAAACAAGAAAAAAAAACTAAAAACGATCGCGACATTCCTTGTTTTTGTCCCTCTCGATGATGTTTGCCTGCGTGGTTCAACATGTTTTTTCAAAATATGTACAAAAAAAGGTTTCAGATTGTAAATGTCATGAGGTTTTCTCATTTTAATTGTCACGCACAAGAGTTGGTTTCGTTTGTGTTGAACGAGAGAGCCAGCAAAAAAAACAACAACAATCCGGCCTTAAAGGAACCGGTCACCCAAAAATGGAAATTTCACTCATTTATTTACACATCATGTCATTTGCTGTAACAACAAACTAAATTTTCCAAGCATAACTTCTGAAAGCACCATACAAGTTCAAGACGTGTGAAAAAATATGGACACAATTCTCATTTTCCGGTGAACCGTCCCTTTAAATTTGAATAGTCAAGAATGGATTTGAATCTGAGCATTAGTAGATGTCAGTCTATCATAAAATGATCAAATCTGTGATGAATTGGCTTTTCTTCCATTTGGCAAGAAGTACGACATTGTCCCTTTGCCGAAATAGCTGGTCTTTTTTCGGAGATTGTGATTTGTTAGTGTTTTTGTATGTTGTGTGTGTTTTTAAAAAAAAAAAATACAAAAAATCCTGATTGATAACAGAGATATATTTTATACTTATTTATTGTACAGGCACTATTACACAAATCCAGAAGGGACATCTTTTAAGGGACTTTTAAGTTGTAATGTAATTCTGTCCTATCTGTAAAAACTAAAACTTTAAGTACAATTTTCACTTTAGTGTATAATTCAAATATACATGACATTAACTTTAAGTTGTATATGGATGTGATGTAAACGTGAATGATTTCTAAGTAATACAAATGTATTACTTTAGATAAGAAAAAAATATAAAGACTTTTGTACAGAAATAAATCTTTTTTCCTCATATTGTTGGAGTGATACTATGTTTCTGTATATATATATATATATATATATATATATATATATATGTTCTCAGAATTGCGAGTTTATATCTCACAATTCTGACTTTATTACTCGCAATTGCAAGTTTATATCACAATTCTGAGAAAAAAAGTCAGAACGGCGAGATATAAACTCGTAATTGCGAGAAAAAAAGTCAGAATTGTGAGAGAAAAAGTTGCAATTTCCTCTTTTATTTTGTGGCGGAAACGGGCTTCCATACTTTTCCCCCTCAGAATTTAGCCTTTATAATTTGCAGCTGCGTGTTTATATATAAAAAAAGTCTGAAATGCACCATAAACTTGCAATTGCAAGAAAAAGTCAGAATTGCGAGACAAACTTATTATAATTGCAAGTTCATATCTCAGAATTGCGAGAAAATAAGTCAGAATTGCGAGAAAATAAGTCAGAATTGCGATACAAACCCGCAATTGCGAGAAAAAAGTCAGAATTGCGAGAAAAAAGTCAGAATTGCGAGAAAATAAGTCAGAATTGCGAGATATAAACCCGCAATTGCAAGAAAAAAGTCAGAATTACGAGAAAATAAGTCAGAATTGCGAGAAAATAAGTCAGAATTGCGATACAAACCCGCAATTGCGAGAAAAAAGTCAGAATTGCGAGAAAAAAGTCAAAATTGCGAGAAAATAAGTCCGAATTGCAAGATATAAACCCGCAATTGCGAAAGAAAAAGTCAGAATTGCGAGAAAATAAGTCAGAATTGTGAGATATAAACTCGTAATTGCGAGAAAAAAAGTCAGAATTGTGAGAGAAAAAGTTGCAATTTCCTCTTTTATTTTGTGGCGGAAACGGGCTTCCATACTTTTCCCCCTCAGAATTTAGCCTTTATAATTTGCAGCTGCGTGTTTATATATAAAAAAAGTCTGAAATGCACCATAAACTTGCAATTGCAAGAAAAAGTCAGAATTGCGAGACAAACTTATTATAATTGCAAGTTCATATCTCACAATTATGACTTTTTCTGACAATTCTTTACTTTTTCAGAATTTCGATATGTAAACTGGCAATTGTGAGAAAAAAAGTCAGAATTGTGTAATAAAAAGTCGCAATTACTTTTTACATTTTTTTTTATTCAATGGCGGAAACGGGCTTCCATAGATTTCTATCATCACAAAGGCGTTTAAAACATCACAACAGTGATGCTGGAATGTGTCTTTCCTTTAGCAAACACTATCAAATAAGCTGATGTTGATTGCTGGTATGTATCTGGTGTGTGTTGATGTTGGGGTGGGGGACCATGAGGAGTTTCTTCAGCAGATGGTTTGGAAATATGACCATGGAGGCCATACCGGACTTGGGTGGATACTGCATTCTGGACATACGTTCATGTACACTAACGATCTGGACATGTTTGCACAGTAAAGCACCCTGAAGCGCTCTACGGTCACTGTGGAAGTGTTACTTCAGATGTGGGAAACTGCTCTGGCATTCTTGAATGTCATGAGTTGCTGGCTATGCTTTCTGGAGTATCAAATCTTCTTATTTGACCTAATTCAATGAAGAGCATCAGTTGTGTCCAAAGCAATTACGAATGCGGTCAATGCGGCTGCCTTGCTTTCTCACATGACAAATAGATGACACTCATATAAAAATGTTAATGGGAATGAGCTTTCTTCTGGAAGTAGAAGACAGAATAGCAAAAGCTCTTTATACATACAAGTTCTTATTCAGTAAATGTACTTCTAAACAAAAATCAGTTTTTTTGTAAAGAAACATTTAGTATTGAAACTACACAAAGGATTTTCCATTAGGGCTGTCTATTAGTTTGCCATTATCATCAGAGTTCTGGAAGGATTGGACAAATGTGTCGATGATGATGAACAACAAACGCCTGCAAGAATGGATGATTGCAAACAAAAAATCATTTTTTTATTTCAATTAGATCACATTTATCATTCAGTAAAGTGCTGAAAAGCTCACAGATTTCCATGAGGTGTACTTACGTTTTCCCTGGTATCATGGCATATGGGGCTTCAGAATAGAAAGGATGATCGATTACTCTATTAGCGCCTAATGTTGCTCTCTTTCAAACTGGGGCAATGACTCTGCCGCTGCTAAACTCAATTTTCTTTTGCCAGAAGCCGTTTGACTGATTCCAGATCAGTTCTTTTCTGCCACATCCTCCAAATGCATTCCAGCATCCTTCAACAAGCTGTTATGTAAACCTTCAGATAAATCAGATATTCTCTATCGCTGTTGAGCCCAGACTGCTTGTGTACTAGCTTGTTAAATAAAAGAAAAAAATGTCAATGGAAATTATAGAATGAAAGAAAATGTATGCAGCTGGAAAAGAAATGTCTAGACTAAGGGGTGTGGGGAACAAAATAAATCAAATAGCATTGTTTTAGGCTTTAAAAGAACAATTCGCCTAATAATTAAATTAGCTGAAAATCTTCTCACTCTCAGGCCATCCAAGATTTAAATGAGTTTGTTTCTTCATCAGAACAAATTGAGAAATTGTGCATTACATGATTTGCTCACCAGTGGATGCTCTGCAGTGAATGGGTGCCGTCTGAATGAGAGTCCAAACAGCTGATAAAAACATCACAATAATCCACAAGTAATCCACACCACTCCAGTCCATCAGTTAACATCTTGTGAAGAGAAAAGCTGCATGTTTATAAGTAAAAAATCCATCAAGGTATTTTTAACTTAAACAGGTAACATTGCGTTCTCCAGTTAAAAAGTCGTCTAATCTGAATCAGGAGATAAATATGCACACATTAAACAACGATTACAAACAAAACTGTTAAAAAAAAACTGTCCAAAATTGTTCTAAACAAATATGTGGGTGGATTTTGATGTGCAAGGACAACAGAGGATGCAACATTATGGACTCATATATTTGGCCAGAAGCAACTTAAAGTTTAAGAAGTCTTAAAGTTTAAACACCTTAATGAAGGATTTGTTTCTTGCAAACACGCAGCATTTCGCTTCACGAGACTTTAATTGATGGACTGGAGTGGTGTGGATTATTGAGATGGTTTTTTTCCCCCAGCTTTTTGGACTCTAATTCTGATGGCAACCATTCACTGCAGAAGATCCATTGGCAAGTAATGTTCAATTTCTCAAAAATTGTTCTAGAAACAAACTAAAAAATATACAAAAATGTCCATTTTGGATGGCCTGAGGGTGAGCGATTTTTCAGCATATTTTCATTTTTGGGTGAACTATTTCTTTAAGTGCTACACTTTCCTGCATTTGAAAATTTGACCATGAACACAGTTTGACACCAACTGCAAATCATTCAATGCATGGCAATGTCATTATAAAGGTGGTTTATTCTTTGATTCAGACTGTGAAAAAATAAGGCGAGTTACAGTAAATCAAATCAAAGAAACTGAAACAAAGATTGCTGATTTGACTCATCAACCTGTGTGTCAAAGTACCTAGTAACACCTGTTAGAGAAACGCTCCTTGAGTCCCATTAAGATGCTGTGCCTTTGAGGCTCGTGTATCAAAGCTCCTGCTTGCTTTTATTTGCTCGGTTGGCTGCTTTCTTGTCTCCTTTCTTCTTGGTCTCGTTTTGCTCGTGCCCCTTGGCATCTTTCTTGGCAGCTTTCCCAGGGTACACCTGCCCTTCTACGGTCACATCCTCACAGCGGTCCTGAGCGACCAGGAAGTCTTTAATCTCCCAGGCATAGCCCCCGTCACGCAGCATGAAGATGGCACGGTTGGATCCCACCACAAATCTGATGAGAAAGACACAAACCGTGATTAGTGACAGAGCGCCAAAGAGCAGGAGGGGAGCTTCAAAATGGAGTGTTGTGCCACACATAAGCTCTGATTCAAATTTACTTCTTAACATATCGTTGTTAAATACATAATTTGTTTCTAGCATCACAACATTCTATGGGCTCTTTAAAAAAATCTCCTAAAACACTTTTTCCCCTTGAACCATTAAGAATGTAATTTTTACCACATCTCACAATCCATGTTGAAAGTTAAATCAATCAAAATAAATATATATATATTTTTTGCATAATAAATTGACTGACTTTGTCCTTCTAAGGATAATTTGCCTAGCTTTTTATGTAAACAAAACACACACAAATAATTTTTTACTTTTTTGCATAAATGAACAAAATTACAGCTTGATTGGAAATGATGTATAAAATGTTTTCATAAAATAAAATAATAAAACAGTAAAATTATTTTGTTCTCAAATGATATTTACCTTAATTTTTCATTTTTTAAACACTTCTATGACTGTTGTCTGCTTTGTTTAAAAAAAGTATGCTAACTTCTGGGCGGGGGAAAAACATTAAGTGGCCAAAGAAAAATAATTGAATACTATACTAGTTTTATTAATATTTTGATGCTGTTTTTAATTAGTACATTTTGTTTTCATTTAAATTTTAGTAAAAGTTTTAGTAATTTGGTATGTGTTTTTGTCATTTTTAGTAATGTTTTTTAATTTTTTATAAATGTGTCTATGATTTTTATAAATTTTTATTTAGGCTAGTACTTAAAGTTAAGCTAAAAACTATGGAAGCCCGTTTCCGCCACTGAATAAAAAAATATAATTCCGTAAGTTATAATAATGAGAAACTTTCTCAAAATTATGACTTAGTATCTCGTTATAAAGAGAAACTTTCTCGTAATAATGACTTATTTTCTCATAATAATGAGAAAC